CCCCCCTCCTGCTGTGACCTCGTTTCTCCTGCGTTGATCAATAAACATTGTTCTTCAGGTGAAACTGCCGACGACCGGATGGACCCAGTGAAATGAAATCATTAAATCTCCGCAGGTCGGGGGGGGGATCTGGACTTCTCCACCTTCCTGAGCATCATGCACCGGCAGCTCCAGCAGGAGGCGCCGGAGCAGGAGATCCTGGAGGCCCTGAAGATGGCCGACAAGGAGCACAAAGGCTTCGTCCTGGCCACTGAGCTGCGAGCGACACTCACCGGGCTCGGAGAGAAACTGACGAACAGAGAAGGTGAAAGAGATTAATCTCATTCCAAATATCATCTCTGGATCACGTCGTGTTTAATCCTGTGATCACATGAACTGAAGATTATCTTTCTTCCATTATTCTGCTCTTCATCTCAACGTCTGCAGGAGTCCGGAGGAGAACTGATAATAACTGAGATTATGTTGGATTTAAAAACTACTGATGAGTCATAATAATGCTGGATATCTGAATAAAGTATTTCAGCCTCTTTCCTCCACAGAACCTCTTTGTATGTATATGTCAGTAGCTCTCACTTCACACAGCGTGAATATGAGTGAACGCAGAGTTTAGATTGAGAGCTCAAGAAAATCTGAACATGAAATCCACCTGTTGTCAAACTGAAAGAAGAGGAAAGAGGAAGGAAGTTTGTGAAATGTTCACTGCTTCATCAAAGCAGATGTTGATTGACAGCTGTGTCTGTGTTTTCAGTGGACGAGCTGCTGAAGGAGGCGGGTGTTGGGGCAGATGGGCGGGTCCATTGTGAACAGTTTGCTAAAGCGGTGACGCGCTCGTCTGCAAAACACTGACGTCGCCGCCCACATCATCGCTGCGGTGACGACCTTCTCCTGTTAGAGGTCATCCGTCATTGGACGTTAATCTGGTACACGAGGCTCCGTCCATTCAATTAGTGTGATCGTGCTCAGGCTGAGGTTGAGCGCCCTCTGCTGGCTCACAAGGCAAACTTTACACAGTAGACGTATATTTTTAATTTGAACGGTTCAGTTCAGTTTGAATTTGGCGTCATGTGACTCAATATCAATAAAAATGAAATTAACAGACAAACAGAGTTTTTATTTATTTCATCATATCAGGTGACAGATGTGATCTCTGGCTGCTCCTCTTGTTAATGTCCTTGTGTGAGACATATAAAACAAATGTGACGTCAAACTGGACAAACACTTTTGACCTTTCCGACAATCAAACACTGACACATGCACAAAGAGGATGTGACGCCACCAACAGGCGACCAAATGAACTGCAGCATGTCCTTGATGAACAGAACAGATTCCTGCAGGTTTGATAAACTGCAGATAGATTCAGAACAGCTGCATCACTCGTGTGTTTTTTATCAGAGTTCATTATTTCATCTCCGGCCTGAAGTTGGTTCTGTGATGTAACACTGATCCAACTCTTTCCATCATCTTCCTGTATGATGACATATTTGCTCTGCACACACAGTTTGGATTGAACATGTTATGAAGGATGTATTAAAGCGTCCTGTCATTTCCTGTTAGCACAGCTTCATGCAGCAGCCACCAGGAGGGTTTGTGGGCCGCGGTGAAAACAGCGGAACCTTCCTGCAGTAATTCACTGTGACATCTCTGCTCTTATGTAATCGCCCAGAGAGAAAGTGGATTTACCAGCACGTCTCATTTTTCTGTTTGAACCTGGTTCTGAAGGACGTTCAGAGCGTGAAGCTGATCTCTTCTTCATGTTTTGTGATTCACCAGGAATCTCATTGTCCTCAGGAGGAGGAGCCTCAGGGACGATGAGTCTCAGGTGTTTAACAGTTTGTCTGATTCACACTGAAATCACTGAGTTTATTCACATCAGCTGATTCTTTACGTCTGTCCAACTCCTGGACATGTCTCCTGAGGCCAGAGTCGAGCTCTCGATCATCCAGTCTCATCGACAGAGTCAGTGGCTGAAGTACATTCATATGTTTCTATTTATTGTGTATATTCCTTAAACTGAGGTAGTGCAGGCTCCTTCTTATTGTTTGCTCTTGTCTTTCTGACTCTTGCTGCTGTGACACGGTGAATGTCCCACTGAGGGACAATCAATTCAACACGCAGTACACATGTCCTGCCACTAGAGGTCTCTAAACCAATGACTGCATATAAAGTGAAGTGTTGGTGTGAGAGAGAGAGAAAAGAGAGAGAGAGAGAG